GGGGCAGCCAGACCGATACTGGGAGCTCAGGAACAGGTAATTATGTCCTTTGTCTCGTGAGCTGTTAATCATGATGTCCAGCCCGAAATAAAGATTGAAATAATGATGACAGACACTCTAATAAAGAGCAGATGGGGTGTGAACGACACGGCCTCGTTGAGCCACCCAGGCAAGCCCTGCCCTGACAGAGCCAGTTCAGCAGCTTCTGAATCACCAAATCCAGGAGGGCAAGAGTTCCCTCACATCACCTGCTCTGGGTACGAAGGGTCACACTCTGGGGTGGCAAAAAATCAAGGGGCATCCACGTAGTCCTGGATCACAGCAGGGAAAACTGACTCTGGCTCTCCACTGGGAAAAAAACTGATGGGGGTTTTTTTGGGAGCTCCAGGATCCTTGGAGATGTTGAGACAGTCACCTCAGTGATAAACCAGATCAAAGCAACAGCTACAGAGGTCCTTTCAGAGCTGCTGGAATGACTGCTGCCACCTCCCAGGGAATCTCTGGCTTCTGGGGACTCAGTTCCCTGCTCAGCCCTTGCCTTGTCCTTGGTGGCAGCTCCTGCCCAGGACCTGCAGGAGCTGGAGCAGCATTTTCCATCTAGGAAGGGCGGGCTCAGAGCAGCAATTTCCCTGCTTGTGGTGTCGTTCTCCCTGGAATTAGTGGCCCGGTGTGGTGTCCAAGGGAGCTGAGCTGGGCCCCAGCAGCTGAGAGAGCTCCACGTCCCCTCCGGAGCAGCCTCATCCCTGCACGTCCCTCCCGTCCCTTCCCAAAGGTCTGGGCCGGGCAGATCTCCCTGCAGGTGGCCTTTGCCTCTAAAAATAGTCTTTGTGCAATTCCCGGGGAAGGGAAAAAGCAATTACACCTCCAGTCTGGGAGAAACATTCCCTCCCTCTCCACGGGCAGAGCCCGTCGGGGCAACAACCGGAGCTTTTGTGCTGAGTTTGCTGCCCCGGAGCTGAGGTGACCTCCCCGAGCCTCCCCAGACCTGCACCCAAACCAGTGGTTGAGGTCAGGGCGGCCCCAGCTCCTGATCCCCAGACAGGGTTCAGGTCTCCCTGCCAGCCATGGAAAGTGAGGTTTGATGCTCTTTCCTCACCCCGTGTCGCAAGCCGAGGCTGCCCCGAAAAACCTCAGGTCTTGCTCAAATAAAAGCTGTGTCTCAACACTCCCAGCTCTGTCTGCCCTGATGTTCCTCCACCTGAGCCTCTCCAGGGTGCCCTGATGGATGGAGCTGACGGGGCACAATCACTTGGGAATATTGCCCAAAAATTCGGGTGCAGCTCAGGAGCTGCTGGAATCCCCCGTGTGCTCCCAAACCCAGCTGGAATCCCCCGGGTGCTCCCAAACCCCTTCCAGGCTGACAGCCACAGTCCTGGGATGCTTTGGGTTGGAAGGGACCTTAAAGTTTGTCCAGTTCCACCCCCCTGCCATGGGCAGGGACACTTTTTCCTCTCTCCCAGGTTGCTCAGAGCTCCACCCAAGGTGGCCTTGGACCCTTCCAGGGATGGGGCGACGAGAAACCCAACCCCTTGAAGGAGCCTGATCTGATTCCCTCGATCTCCCTGCTCCCAAGGGCGATATTCCAGGAGCCTATCTGGGCACCAGGGCTGCTTTGATAAACCACAGTGCTGCCTAGAAAGCAGCCAGGCAGGTTCTCCACTGCTGGAAAGTGTCCCAGTCCCTGCCCTCAGCAGAGCCACCGCTGGGATCAGCAGCAGGGGAGCAGCTGGGGAGGCCTTGGAGTCTGGGGTTGGGTTGGTTTGGGGTTTTCCCCTCTCTAGAAAAGGCTGGAGACTAAAATTAAGCCTGTGAGGGAGGCAGCAAGGCAGGGCCTGACCTGCCAGGGGGTCAGAGAGGGAGTCACACACGTGGAGACCCATCCTGGGAGACAACACACGGCCCAAAATTCAGGTGTCCTGGTCTCCAGCTGCCAAAGGGTTGCTGAGGGAGGAAGTTCCACCCCAGTGGGAGCAGCTCTGCTTCCCTTTGCTGCCCAGGAATCCCGGGTGGTGGCTGGGACCAGCTCAGCCAGCCCTGCAGCTGATAAGAGCCCCGGTGGGACGGGACAGAGACAGTCCCAAAGGCACCCAAAGGTGATGAAATTGGGCTCTGGGTGGGCCCAAGGCGCCTCTGCTGCTCAAAATAATCCTCCCAGCACAATTAAGGGCTGCTTGACCTGTGGCCTGATCCCTCCCTGAGATCTGGAGGGTGAGGGTGAGTTGTTCTCACTCAATAAATGTTTTTTCACGTGGAATAATAGTTATGGAAGTTTTTTTGTGAAAAACACCCTTTATTTCACATTGAGGTTCAGATATCCTTTCAAATGCCATCCTGGCACCTGAGTGGGACCAGTTTCCAACTCCATTTGATGGGATAAATCTTGGACACCATTAAAATCCCTTCACTTGCCACAGAGATAAACTCAGTGCCCTGTTCTGTCACACTTAGATCGGGGGAGCTGTGCCTTCTGGACCATGGAAAACAACATTAATTCAGAAATCCCAGGATTATTTCTGTTGGAAAAGACCTCCAAGATCATCAAGTCCAACCTTTGATCCATCAACATCTTGTCTTTCGCCCAGAGCACTCAGTGCCACATCCAGTCCTGCCCTGGACACCCCCAGGGCTGGGGACTCCCCCACCTCCCTGGGCAGCCCCTGCCAAGGCCTGAACACCCTTTCCAGGAGGAAATTCCTCCTGGTGATTCAAAATTATCTGTTCTGAAACGAAAGCAGAATGAAATCCATGAAGATCTTCCCGAGGAAAAGAAAAGTTCACTCATCCCTCACGAGTTTTTACACCCTAAAATCGTTTTAGGGAATTCACTGGTGAAGAGCAAAGTGAGAGAAGGACAAATGAAACCCCCTCTCTTAAACTACAAACACAGCCCAGGAATTAGTGGGGATTGGATGGTGTGAAAGGACTCTTGGATGGGATGAGGTGGCACCACAACACCCCCCCAGACCCCCAAAGTCCATATTGCAATAAATGCATCCAGCTGAGGGTCTGACCTTCATTCCCACCCCGTGTCCCGTCCAGCTGGGCTGGTCAGGGGAATAAAAGGAGCCCTGTCAGGGAGAGGTGCCTACGTGTAGGACAGGGCTGGGGAGGAAACACAGCGGGGCAGTTGTGAAACCATGAGCTCATCAGCCAGGAGGACTCATTCCCAGAAGGCAGGGCTTTGAAACCATATAAAAGTTCTCAAATCCCTTCTGCCCCGGCAGCCACTCGACTCCCTGCGACTCCCTGTCGGCCGCCTGGGTAAGTCAGAGGGCTCTGATCCCTCCCTGGGCTTCTCCCTCACGTGGGTGTCCCCTTTTTAAATGAGGGTTTCACCTGCTTTGCCTTTGAATATGCAAAAGGTTCCTGGAGAGGAGAGGGGTTGTGGGGAGGACAGGCAGCCCCTGCAGGGTAAATCCAGGCTGAGGGTGACTCTGGGGGTGGTTCAGGGCTGAATTGGACCCTTTCTGAAAGGCAGAGCAGAGGAAATTGTGCTGGTTTAAGTTCTCCTTCAGTGGCCTCCTCGAGCTCCCTCCAGGCTGATTTCCTGGGATTCTGCTGTTGAGAACAAGGATATTGTTAAAGCTCCAATTGCATGGGAGAATTCTTTGGGAAAGCAGGGATTTGGGGCATGAGGGAGCAGAGGGATGAAGGAATTCCTCCCATGCTGCCTCACTCATGGCAAGGGCAATGTATTAATTTGTTTAAAGATCTTATCAGATCCTTGTAAAAAAAATGGCAAGAGAGGGGTGTTACTGACTTATTGACCTGGAGGACGGAGAGGAGAGGAGGGAATTGGCTTTGGGGACGTGCTGAGAGGAGCAGCAACCCCAGGGGGAAGGGAGAAGGAGCTGCCACCCTCCCTCTCCTGCCCACAGCTCCGGGCTGGGGCAGGTCCTGCTCTGAGGGGGCTCCAAAATGCCCCTTTCAGGCACCACTTTTCCAGTTCTCACCTTTAATTCGTGCTTTTAAGTTGATTTTAGAGAAGCAGCAGCCCAGGCTTTGGCAAAGACTCTTCCCCAGCCCAGCTGAGCCTTCAGCAGCCACAAAACAGTTTCCCAAATTGTCAGGAGCCCAGGAGTGGCCCTGGGAGCAGAAATCCCTGCTGCTGGCTCTGATTCATGCAGGTCTCAGGTGTCATTAGTGGCCAGGACGATCCAGGGACACGGGGACACGTTATCCCTGCTCATCCTTTCCGTGGCACTTTGAAGGACTGGGCCAGAGGTCACCTCAACCCTTCCCATCACCCACAAATTCGGGATGGAACCAGAGCAGGAGGAGGAATTGAGTCTTAATACATAAAGGAAAGGCTTTTAATCCCAAGTAAAACCTGGAAACCACTGCAAAAGGGGCAAAACCCAGTGAATTATTTCACTTTTGCCAATGTAAAATATCCTCTTGGCCCCATATTTATATTTTCCAACTTTCTGACACACCGAGTACTTTAAAATGTTTGTCTTTCACTTTCGTTGTTTTTCTATTATGTTTCTCTTCCACTTTCATTGTTTTTTCTATTATTATTTTGACTTTCTGAGGCCGTTCTCTCCCAGCCAGGAGATCCGTGGTTTTGTCAGCTCCTCTCATCGATTCCCCAGGACAGAAATAAAAGGGAGTTGACACTTTGGGAAGAAGGGGGGAGGACTGTGAAGTGCAAATCAGCCGCAGGTTCAAAGGAGCGGCTCTGCCTCAGCCAGACCTGCCGGGGCTGTCCCACATCGCAGAGCAGAGAGAGGAGGGACGAGATAAGACGGGGTGGGAGCAGGAGCTGAAAGGCAGGATGACAAAGGAAGAGCAGATCGTCATTCCCTGCCTTGGGAAACCGAGGGCAAACCGGGAGAACTTCGCTCTGGTTTCTCAGAACTCGTATTTTATGACTGAACTCGTATTTTATGACTGAACTCGTATTTTATAACTGTCCCCCCCTTCTCCTGCTGCTGCCCCTCGCTCAGCACCGCAATAACGCTCTGATTTTCTTTCAGATTGTCTCGTTTCCCGCAAAGATGTCCCTGAACCAGATGCAAATCAAGCAGGAGCTCACCCTCCCCCCCGGGCTGAGCAAGGGCATCCCCAAACCGAGCCAGGAGCCCCCCGCGCCCTGCCCCGACCCCATCCCGTGCCCGCAGCAGCATCCCGAGCTCCAGGACCCCGCGCCCTGCCCGGATCCAGCCCCGGCGTGCCCAGAAAAAGCCGTGCCCTTGCCAAGCCAGGAGCCGGGCAAAGGAGAAGCCCCCGCGGTGCCCCAGTGCCCAGCCCAGGACCAGCAGCAGCAGCAGCAGCAGAGCAAGTGCCCTCCATCCTTCCCAGCCGAGGCTCTGCCGTGCCCGGAGGAGAAACCAGCCTGCCAAGAGCTGCCCGTGTCCCGCCCTGACCCGGTCCCGTGCGGGCAGGAGAGGCAGCAGTGCCAGGAGAGCCCCGTGCCAGCCCCCGGGACCCGCTCCGAGGCTGCAGCGGGTGCCCAGGAGAAGCAGCAGATCAAGGAGCTCCCCGTGCCCGTCCCTGTCCCGCTGCCCGACCCCACCCCGTGCCCCCAGGAGAAGCAGGAGGTCAAGGAGATCCCCGCGCCCGCCCCGTGCCCTCAGGAGAAGCAGGAGGTCAAGGAAACCCCTGTGCCCGTCCCTGTCCCGCTGCCCGACCCCACACCGTGCCCCCAAGAGAAACAGGAGGTCAAGGAGCTCCCCGTGCCCACCCAGTGCCCCCAAGAGAAGCAGGAGATCCAGGAGATCCCTGTGCCCACCCCGTGCCCCCAGGAGAAGCAGGAGATCAAGGAGATCCCTGTGCCCGCCCCGTGTCCCCAGGAGGTCAAGGAGACCCCTGTGCCCACCCCGTGCCCCCAGGAGATCAAGGAGACCCCTGTGCCCACCCCATGCCCCCAAGAGAAGCAGGAGATCAAGGAAACCCCTGTGCCCATCCCTGTCCCACTGCCCGACCCCACCCCGTGCCCCCAGGGGAAGCAGGAGATCCAGGAGCTCCCCGTGCCCGCCCCGTGCCCCCAGGGGAAGCAGGAGCTCCAGGACACCCCGGTGCCGGTGCCAGCTCCCTGTCCCGACCCAGAGCAGCGCTCCCTCCCCGAGAAAGCCCCTCCCGTGGAGCAGCAGCAGCTCAAACAGCCCAACCCGTGGCCTCCCGCCCAGAAGTAAAAGCGGGGCCGCCCGAGCCGAGCCCCGAGGGGGAGAAGAAGATCCCGACCCGAAAGCTCCTCTCCCGCATCTCCCGTCTCCAGAGGTCATTTCCCAGCACCTTTTGAACCGCTGCAGAGTTTCTGCGGAGAAGAAAATCGCTGTTGAGCTCCCAAGCCCCCCCCTCTCCAATTAACGCTTTGTGCTGCACTAACACCCCCCGGGATGCTTCAAGCAGGGTCCTGGTTGTGTGTTCGGCTCCCCAGCAGCCCGAATTCCTGCCCTCTCCCGGTCCCACTGGCTTTGGAAGGCCCAGGGAGACCCCAAAAATCTCCCTGGCAGCACAGGGCAGGGTTCCTCAAGCTCAGCAATAAAATTCCCCCCAGCCCAAAGCCCAGCTCTGGTTTCCCTGCCTTCCCCCCCCCCAGATTCCACCTCCCACCTGCATTTGGGGCTTCTTGCCTGTCAATAACGGGAGGTTTGGGCAGAACCTGCTGCTGAAGGGTTCTGATCACCCTCCCAACTCATGTTAGTGCTGATTGGTTTTATGCAATTAAAAAGAATCCTCCGGGCTGCAGGAAACAGGAAGGGGTTTTAGGGACAGAGGCACCTCCTCTGCCCAGGCAGGAGCCAGAGCTCACCTGGAATCTTCCAGGACGTGTGAAAGAACAGCTCCAGCTGAGAGGCTTCGTGGCAAAGCTCCAGATGATGGAATCCACTCCAGACGTGTTTTGAAAGCAGAGATTAAACCCCAGGCGTGGCTCCCCCGGGCTCCACGGGGCAGAGGAGGGAACACACTCGGGGCTTGTCTCAATGACACCCCACACGGGGTTGTTGTGGATGGATTTGCCACTTAGCCCTAATTGTTTTAGGCTGGTGTTGCATCCAGGATTCATTTCACTGTGAAAATCAGCAATAAAAGTTGCTTTGAATACCGAGGTGTGGAGGTTTTTCCTCGGCTTCTGCTCGAAAAAGGTGGGAGGGACCCTCAGCTGGCAACAGGCAGGTGTTTGTCAGGGTCAGAGCTTGGGAATTCCCAATCAGGACCTGGAAACTCGGGAATGGGTGACCCTGAGTCACAGAACCATGGGATGGTTTGGAATGGGAGGGTCCTTAAAGTCTCTCCAGTCCCCCCTGGCAGGGACACCTTCCCCTATCCCAAGTTACTCCAACCTGGCCTTGGACACTTCCAGGGATCCAGGGGCAGCCCCAGGGCCTCCCCACCCTCCCAGGGAAGAATTTATCCTCAATATCCCATCTCAACCCCCCACGTGTGTCTTTAAAGGTAATTTTTTGGCAAATAAAAGAAAAAAGATAACAAACAACACGAGTAAAGTGACAATAAAAATGTCAGGAAGCAGGTAATGAGGTTACTCGTCATTTTATTGCAGCATGTCCCAAATTCAGACCAGGATAAAGCGGCCCCATGATTTATTTATTTATTATTTTGCAGCAGAGGGTGAGCTAATCCCAGGTAATGAATTGCACCTCGTTGTAAAGCAAGAGCTCCTTGCAAGGCTGAGGAGGCGGCTGCGGAGTTTTTTGGAGCCCTTCCAGCGGCGCCAGCAGACAGGAAAAGTTGGGAAAGGAGCGTTTGGAAACCGGGAATTTGCATTTGGAAACGGGAATTTGCATCTCCCGTGCCGTCGGTGCTACTTCTGCTTGGGGCAGCACTGCTTGGGGCAGCCCTGCTGCTGCTGCTGCTGCTGGGGGAGGCTCTTCACGGGGCACTTGGCCTGGCCTTTGGGGGCCTGGCTTTGCTCCACGCCCTTGGCAGGGGCCACACACTTCTCCTGGCACTGGGGAGGGAGGAACTGCTGCTGCTTCTGCTGGTGGGACGACATCCCTGCCGAGCCTGCAAGGAAAAAACCCAAAGCTGGGTCAGGCACATCCACACACGGCTCCTTTTGGGATATCAATGGTGTCAGGAACTTCCTCAGCTCTGGCATCAAGAGGATGAGCTTTTGAGGTTAATCCTCCCATCAAAACCACTGGAAAGGACCAGCTCTGGGCAATAAATCCCTGAGGATGCTGCTCTCCGGACCCGGCGAGGCCACTTTGCTGCACCTGCCCCTTATTGAATTTTTTGGGCCCCCATCACACCCTCAGAGAGGAACTGCACCTAAAATGAGTGCCAGAGGCAAACTCCAGCCTGACAAAACCTGGCTCCAGCCTGACAGAGCCTGGCTCCAGCCTGACAAAGCTTTGCTGCAGCCTAACCAAGCCTGGCTCCAGCCTGACAGAGCCCGGCTCCAAGCAGGGAAGTGGCTGCGGAGCTGAGGAGGAGACAAACAGAGAGGGGAGGGGGTTTTTCCTTCATTCCCTCTGCTCAAAAATATGTTTTCTGGACATTTCAACCCAGAAGAAACCCCGGTTTGAAGGCAAACTCGCTCAGCTCAAGGAGAACCTCAGGGCAGGGGTTAAAACTTGTTTAAAGAGGAGCAGAAAACTGGTGAGAGCCCAGTCCAAGAAATCAGTGGAGAAAAGCCCCCTTTGGCAACAGGCACAGCCCTGCTCAGGTCAGTGAGAGCCTCAGAGCAGCAGCTGCATCTCTGGCCATTAAATTTGGGTGAACTGAGAGGATTTTATGCAGAAAAGTGGAACTCGGAGCCCTGGGAATCCAGGAGACTGAAGCGATCGGATGCAAAAGCAGCTTCCCACGGGTGCCAACTTCTGGCAGCTGATCCCCAACCCCTGCTGGTTATCCACAGGATCCTTATCGGCCTGGGGGAAATCCAGAGGGTTGGCAAGGGGGTTCTGGGCCCCAAAGAGGCAGCAAACCACTGTTGGGAACCTCGGAGAGCCTCCAAACCCCATCCCGTGGCTCTCACCCGCTGGGAGAAAAGCTGGAGCTGGGACTGGAGGGACAAAACAAGGACAAACCCTCATCCCAAAGCCCCAGAACCACCCCCTGAGCAGCCAGAGGGGCACGGGAGGACTCACCTGGTGTCTCCTGCTCTGGGAAGGAAGGAAAAGCCACTGGAGGTGAGGAGCTGCCCCGGCAGGAGGGTTTTATACCCTCCCAGCAGCTGATGACAACAGATTAACTCGATGACCAGAATCTTTCACAACCAGAACCTGCCCCGCTCACACCTCCGTGCTCCTGGACCACAGTCAAGGTCTGGGAAGGATCCCTCCTCTTCCAGCTGCGGGGGATTTGTTGTTTTTTACTGCTGGGCACACCCAGGCTGGTAATCACGGGCTAATTCATTAATAATTCCCCTCGTCCCCGTGCTGGGCACGGATCCCACGGATCCGTGGGGCTGGGACACAACTCACGTCCGCTCCGGAGGGAGCAGAACGTGTTCACAGAAAATTCAGGGGGTAATTTCCTCTGTGACCACAGCACAGATCCCCAGAATCCTGAGTGGGGTGGGGGAATCCCTGACCCAGCCCCTGTCAGGAGCAGCAGGTCCATCTTTGGCCTCCTGTGCTTCTGGATTTTGCTGTTGCCCTTCTCCAGTTTCGTCCCCCAAAAAGGGGAATAAAACACTTCATAAAGCCAAGAAATCAGAAGTCTTTCCCCTGTTTTTTTCCTTGCACTTTACTGTGGTTTTTCACTGAATTAACTTCGTTTTTAATGAATTGAATTCCTTTTTTCCAGACTCGCTGAAGTCGTGGCAGGATTTCTTTTTTTTTTTTTTTCTGAGGATGGATCCACGTTGCAGAAAAATGTGGATTCCCTGGAGATTTTTCCAGGTGAGGGATGGAGAAAATCTTTCATCTGAAGCCTTGGCTTTGCTGGAAAAGGAACCCTTGGTTGTTCCCACCAACAATCCTTGATTTTTCCCACCAACAATCCTTGGCTATTCCCACCAAAAATCCTTGATTGTTCCCATCAACAATCCTTGGCTATTCCAACCAACAATCCTTGGCTTTTCCCACTAACAACCCTTGGTTGTTTTTATCAACAGTCCTTGGTTGTTCCCACCAAAAATCCTTGGCTATTCCCACCAAAAATCCTCGGCTATTCCCACCAACAATCCTTGATTGTTCCCACCAACAATCCTTGGTTATTCCCACCAAAAATCCTTGGTTGTTCCCACCAAAAATCCTTGATTGTTCCCACCAACAACTCTTGGTTGTTTTTACCAACAACCCTTGGTTTTTCCAACCAACAATCCTTGGCTATTCCCATCAACAACCCTTGGATGTTCCCACCAAAAATCCTTGATTGTTCCCACCAAAAATCCTTGGTTGTTCCCACCAACAATCCTTGATTGTTCCCACCAAAAATCCTTGGCTGATCCCACCAACAACCTCCACCCCCCCCCCAGCTCCTGGTGCTGGACACATCCCCATCAGCTCCCTGCTCCTCTCCAAGGCTGACCAGGATGAAGTGGCACCAATTTGCTGCAAATATCCCAGGAATCTGAGCAATTCCCAGAGCTGACCAGGGCAGGGAAGTGTGTCAGAGCTTTTTGAACACCTTTTTCCCACCAGCACAGGAAACCTCGATGAGCTCAGTCCAACAGGAGCCTCCTGCCACTTCCCCTGGGGTTTCCAGAGCCTGGCTGGGATTCCTGGGCCTGCTGCAGCAGAGAAGGAGGAGGCAAAAACTTTATTTTGCCATTTTTCCTTGCACTTTACAGCAGCTTCATTTGTGATGAATTCAATTCCTTTTCCCCAAACCCTGGCTTGGACCTGCTGGAGCTGTGGCAGAACTTCCCGGGTTTATTCCGGGGGTGGAAAAATGTTGATCCCCTGGAGGTTTTTTTTCCCGAGGAAGGAGCTGAGGAAATGTTTCATCAGCTGGAGATGCTCCGAACTCAGGCCCAGGTGAGTCACCTGTGGGATGGAGCTGCACGTGACTCCCTGACCAGGACCTTTCCCGTGCCCAAAAGTGGCATCAGCAGGTCCTTGGTGAGACAGAATTCCCAAAATTCCCAGGGTTTGTGTTCTGTGGGAGGAATCAGAGGATCAAGTCCCTCTTTTCGTGCTGTTGAACCTCTCCCTGGGCCGTGTTAGGAGCAGGGTTGCCTTGTTTGCCTTCCCCAGCCCTGTTTTTTTTTCTGCCTCTCATTATTGGTGTCACCCTTTGGTGTCGACAGACGGGGCCCGAAGAGGAATCTGCTGTTAAATTCCACACGCAAGGGGCTCATTAGCGGCTCGTTTGGTAACAGCCTTCTGCACACACCTAAATATAACTCTTTTCTTCTCCAGATTAGAGATTCCCCACCCCTGCCATAATGACAGAGCTGATGGGGAGCAATTCTGCACGGCCAGAGGTTGAACCAGTCCCAGGCACGGCCCCGGGAGGACAATGGGAGCTTTATCTCCCAAATCCGGGCTTTCAAAGGGTTTCACGCCCCTCCAGACAATGGGCTCTCCTTTAGCTCCAAAGTTATAATAAATAAAGGTGTATTTAAAGCGAATTAAAATGTTATTGCGCCTGCCAGGTGTTAATGAACCCAAAATTCCAACATCTCTCTCCATCAGGGAGGTGATTCCTGCTCCTGGGTAGATAATGGACAGAGAGACAGGAGTGAGACCTTCCAAAGCCACCCAAAGGACCTGCAGGTCCTGGCAGCAAAACTGCAAAGTCGGGGCTCGGGCCTGTTTCTGAACCACAAAAAGGTTCATCTCCTGAAGCCAAATCCCCCCTTTTCCATATTTAGCCAGTGGGGATCGTGGCAAGAGTTCATCCAACCCACCACCTTTGTCTAAGTCAGAATTTTTTTAAAGGAATAATTAAAATTTCAGCGAGAAGATTCGATTCCTTCTTGCTTGAATTTGAGGCTTTGCGCTGGTTAAATTTACCTTTTAACAGTTTCCTTCTAGAATTAGAAGATAATTGCTCCAAATTAAAATGCTGTTTGCAGCAGGCACAAAAACCCTCCCCAGGCACAAAACCCTCCCCAGGCACAGCAGATTTTGAAAATGAAAACTGAGGGAAGATGTTCCCGGGCCTGAGGACGTGGAGACGAAAAGAAAGAAAGACAGAAGACACAGGATTGCCATCGATGGTCAGTTTTTATTGCTGAACACACAGACATTACAAGGGGAAGGACATAAAAGAGAAGGAAAGAGCAAAAGAGGAGGCATCTTCCACCAGCAGCTGCTGACAGCACAACCAGGGCTCAACAGCTGGGACACCAAAACCATGGCTGGACATCTTGGGCAGAAAAATCATGGCTGGACATCTTGGACAGAAAAATCATGGCTGGATATCTTGGGCAGAAAAACCATGGTTGAACAGCTTGGACATAAAAACCATGGCTCAATAATTTTTCCAGCACAGCCATGGCTGAACAACTTGGACAGAAAAACCATGACTGGATATCTTGGGCAGAAAAACCATGGCTAAATATCTTGGACAGAAAAACCACAGCTCAATAACTTTTCCAGCACAACCATGGCTGAACATCTTGGGCAGCACAACCAGGGCTCAATAATTTTCCAGCACAACCATGGCTCAACATCTTGGACAGCACAACCATGGCTCAAAAACTGGGACAGCACAACCATGGTTGAACATCTTGAACAGAAAACCCATGGCTGGACATCTTGGGCAGCACAACCATGGCTCAATAACTTTTCCAGCACAACCATGGCTCAACATCTTGGACAGAAAAACCATGGCTCAATAATTTTCCAGCACAGCCATGGCTGAACATCTTCCCAAGACACCCAACAGTCCAACATCGTCCAGCTGCAGCCACCAAAAGCAGAGGTGCTGAGGCAGCAGGAGCAGAAGCGTCACAGGAGGGAAAGGGCAGAAACACTCAGAGAGGACGTTTCCCAAGACAAAGGCCCTGGGTTGGGCAGAGCAGGAGAGGTCTCAGTCCGTGGCAGGGGGTCTGTAGCCGGGTTGTCCATTCCAGGGGTGCTCAGGGAGGATCAGCAGGGCCGGGAGCAGACGGGCTCCAGGCACACGGTGTCGCAGGACTCCACGCACTTGGTGGGGCAAACCTCCACGCAGGGGCCCTGGCAGGGCTCGGGGCACTTGGTGGGGCACTGGGGGGCACAGGGCTCGGGGCACTGGGCCGGGCACTGCGGGGCACAGACGTCCACGCACTGTGGGGCACAGGACTGGGCACACACATCCACGCACTGCGGGGCACAGGACTGGGCACAGGACTGGGGACAGACATCCACGCACTGAGGGGCACAGACATCCACGCACTGGGTGCTGCACTGGGTGGCACAGGGCTCCACGCACTGGGTGCTGCAGGAGGAGCTGCACTGGGGGGCACAGGGGGCCGGGCAGACCTCCACGCACTGCACCGGGCAGGGCTCGGGGCACACGGCCTGGCACGGCTCCACCACCCGCTTGACGCCCTTCTGCAGGCAGATGGGGGGGGGCAGGCAGGGCTGCTTGCACTGCTCGTAGTAGGACATCCTTGCCAGGGGGGGTTGGCACCGACAGGCACAGCTGGAAAGAGACGCACAAAAAAAAATCAGGATATTGAGAGTTTTTTCCCCCCCCTCCGGGCGCCGAGTCCCGGAGCTGTTTGTGGTCAGGGGGAGGAAAATATCGCCCGTGTCAGTGATTTCTGCATTCAGATTTGGGCAATTAACGCTGCCAGGTTATTCCTTCCTTTCCTGGGAGCACTCAGGAGTCATCGTTAGGGAGCCCAGGGCCATCAGCTTTAGAGAATCGCCCACAGTTAAACTTTGGAGAAGCCATGACATGAAAATAGTTCATTTCCTTGTTTTCTTAATGAAATTAGGAATTTTTCCCTGGCTGAGCTATTGGTTGTCACCTCCTCAGATCCTCACAGCCACCAGGCCACGTCCCTCTGTGAGCAGACACGGAGCTGCTGATGCTCAAAGGCCACAAACTGAGACATTATCCCATAAAACCATGGAATTGTGGAATGGTTCGGGTTGGAAGGGATCTTAAAGATCATCTCATTGCACCCTCTGCCATGGGCAGGGACACCTCCCATAGCCCAGGGTTGCAGACCCAGCCTGAGGATCCTCTGGATCGTGGAGTTGTCTCAGAATTCCCGGGCTCATCCTTTCCCGGGAGAAGGGTTGGCCCAGAGGCTGCAGCTCCTGTTCCCAGATCATTTCCTCCTCTTTTCTTCTCCCAGGTGTCTCCTGCAGCTCTGCCTGCAGGAATCCTGCAGCTTCCTCCTTCCAGATAATGCCTCTTCCCACCCATCCCTTTTGAAGTCCCCGGAGCTGCTCGGCAGCGTCCGCTCATTTATTTCATCTCCAGACTTGATGAGGCACCAAAAAATTAACCAGAGATAGAAGAGGAGGGAGGATGAGAGGCAACCACAGTTTCTGAGGAGGTGACAGAACATTTGCAAGCTACTTAAGGCAGAGCAAACTCCAAATAGGAGCGGGACATCCCCTCCCCAGCCCCGAGACAAATCCCGGAGCAGAAGCACCCGGAGCAAAGCTCAGGAGAAACATCCTCTTGACCACAACAACCAGCAGCACATCAACTCCCTGATAAACCCAAGAGAGACTCACCAGTTCACCCGTGCAGGTGAGAGGGAGGCAGGAGCCAAATGAAGTGGTGGGAGCAGCAAAAGGTGAAGCTTTTATACCACCCCGAGCGGCGTCAGCTCCGGAAACGGGGCAGCCCAGGGGGATGGACACCTGACCACTAACAACCTCCCCAGGCTCCACCTCCACATGCTCGGCGTGTTTGTCCACATCCTAATTTTTGGTGGAAACAACCCTCCTGCAGGAAGAGCATGTGATGCTGAGCAGGCTCCTCTCCCCAACCCCGGGTCAGGTGGTTCCCACCGGGAATGACGGTAATTAAAAACCAGCAGGTGAGGAATTAATTGCTTTTCAAAACTGGATTTCGTGCGAGGGGGTGTTCTCAGCCCCCTGATTTCCATAAATGTCCGCATTATACCTTTGGGTTTTTCCAGTGGTTGTTATTAGGGAAAGACGGACAATTAATTTGATTTACGATGAGAAATATCCCATCCCGGTTCTCATGGAGAGGAGCAGCTGATTCCCCCAGTGGGCCACCAGCCCTCCCACCAATTCCTGCTTCTTTGATACCTTTTCAATCAGTTCATTCACCCAACCCATGGATTAACAGCATCCATGCTTGGCCATTCCAACAGGGACACAACTGCAGTTGCCTTGAGAACCTCATCAAACCCCTCAAGGCAAAGTATCCCTCGTTTTAAAGACATTTTTCACTGCTAGAGGAGTGTAAAATGCTCCAGCTTAGGTGGGATTCAGGCCCAGGGTGCCACAATAACACACTGAAGGGTTTTTCTGGTAAAAAGTGGGCTCCACAACATGGAAAAAAATCTTTGTTTCTCCAAGATATTCTGATCCCAGAGGTGGAATGTGCTCACCAGACCCCACTTAGCCCGATGGGAGAAAAAACCCAAGCAACCAACCCAAGCCAACCCCTTCAGCATCCTGTTTACACTCCAATCAGGAGTCCAGGTGGAGAATTCCAGGAGTCCAGATGGAAAATTCCAGGAGTCAGCACCGGTTCCTTCCCCGTGCTGACATGGAAAGCCTGGAATTCCTGCCCTGGGCCCACGTGAGCTGCAGGATTCACTCCTGACGTTCTCCCAGCAGCAGCTCAGGGGTGGCTCAGCCTTTCCACAGACTCAGCCCCCCTCGTGCTGTTCCTCCTCCTCCTCCTCCTCCTCCTCCTCCTCCCCTCGAGGCTCCGCTGCCCCGGGGGGGTTTTTAGGGATGGCAGGAATGAATTGGGACTCAAGGAGTGTGGTTTGCTTGTCTCAAACATCTCATTCAGGGCCGGGGGAACACCCGTGGCTGCATCAGACAGGCTGCAAAACGAGCAGGGGCTGAATATTCAGGCAGATTAGTCTCTCCCCCACCTTCTCCTCCTCGAGCTGCTGGGTGAGGAAATCATCCTCCAGCACTTCCAGGTGCCCTCCCAGCAGCCTCCAGCAGTTGTCTGGCTGAGGAGCACCTCAAAGTCCTGCTTGAAGAGCTCCTCATGCTCTCCTTGGGCTCCAAAACCACCCCTGGGGACCAGTCCCACCCCTCCCTTCCCACAGCGAGTTGTTTTACACCCCCTTGTTACATCTGGTTGGTGAGAAATCCTCTTCTGAGAGGACACATGAATTTTTATCTGCGTTTGTGACAGGTGGGAACATCAGAGGGTTGGATTATTGCCCTTAATTGGCCCTTATTTGTGGGTCTCTATTACACTTATGAGCAATCTGGGCCTTGGACTGGTCACGTCGATGTGGGTGAGTCAGGACCCCACAGCAACATCCTTTGGTGGCCCTCGTTTGGTGGCCAGAGGTTGGTGTGGTGCTGCAGCAGAACTGCCCCCCCTGAGCACTGAATTCTGCTGCCCAGGAGCATTTTTTTCTGAAAAAACCCCATAAAACATCACCTTGTCAACACTTTTGGCTCCCGAGAATCCAGGGAGCTCTTCGTGTTTCACCACCAGGAGCTGCCAAAGGTGGAGGCACTTTTCTACCAGGGGAAAAAAAACTAAACCTATTTCATGAACTGCTGAACAATTTGCTTTAAAATAGGATCCCTCTGGGTTTTACACAGCCCTTGGGTTACCCGAGAGGCTCCTACAGGAGTTTTCCTCCTCTGTAGCATCAGCAAAGACCTCCAAGATCATCAAGTCCAACCTTTGATCCATCAACATCTTGTCCCCAGCCCAGAGCACTCAGTGCCACATCCAGGCCTTCCCTGGGCACCTCCAGGGCTGGGGACTCCCCCACCTCCCTGGGCAGCCCCTGCCAAGGCCTCAACACCCTTTCCATGGGGAAATTCCTCCTGATGTCCAACCTGACCCTCCCCTGGCACAGCTTGAGGCCGTTTCCCCTCCTCCTGTCCCTTGTTCCCTGGGAGCAGAGCCCGACCCCTTCCCGGCTCCCCCCTCCAGTCAGGGAATTCCAGAGCCAGAAGGTCCCCTCTGAGCCTCCTTTTCTCCGGGATGAGCCCCCCCAGCTCCCTCAGGAGTTCTCCAGCCCCTTCCCCATCTCCAGCCCCTCCGTGTCCCTCTTGCTGTTGTTGCCCAGGACTCACATTTCGCTCAAAAAACCCTTTCCACAGAAATCTGGGATTCTCCCCATTTCCTCAGCCCTCCCAGCCCTCCCTCCTGCACCTGCCTGCAATTAAATCCTGTAATCTGGGGCTTCCTCACACCCCACTTTCCCCTGTCACCCTTCCCCGCCGAGGGTGTGATCCAGCCCAATTCCAGCTGGGGCAGCAGATCCAGCCCAATTCCAGCTGGGGCAGGTGATCCAGCACAATTCCAGCCGGTGTCCAGCCTTCCCCTGGCTCTGGGAATAGCTGGGATGCCAGGGGGATGAGTGTGGGCTGCAGCTGGACTCACCTGAGCACCAGTGGCTCACCTGCCCCGTGCCCCGGGGGCTGTTTGCTCATGGAATGAGCTCATCCCGAACTCATCCCGAGCTCATCCCTCCCGGGGGGCCCCGACCCGGCCCCATCCACCCCTTTTCCTGTTTACTGGGGCGGGTGAGTGCTCGGGCAGGAATGATAAACGAGCACCCGGGCAATTAAACCTCGGGAAGAGGAACTGACTGTGGTCAGGGAAAAAATGCCTCAGCTCTTTTATCCTCTGCCTTCGGACTCTCTGCTTTGATATCCTGAGGGTTTTGGGAAGGAAATCCGGTTTTCCGTGGGATTTTTTTTTATTTTACTGGATAAAATAGAAAATAAAATAAAATAAAGCTGCGTTTTGATGTCTGAGGAACACCTTTCAGAGCTGGGAGCACGTTGCCTGACAGAACAAGAATTGTGATTCCACCAGGTTTTCTCACTCTGAGCTGCAGTTTTCTCCCTGTTGGAGCAGTTTCTTGGGTGTAGTTTGAACATCCAGGGGCTCGGGGAGGAGGGATCCCTGTTTTTCCCCTGATTCCCTGTTTCCCTTCCTCCAGCCCCGCCTGGAAATGAAGTTTCTGCTCTCTGCTGAGCTGAGGTGAATTAAAACCTGAATTTCTTCTGCTCATATGAAGGATTAAACATCATGCAAACACCAAGCCATGAGAAGGGGAAAAAAATCTTATCTGGGTGCCATTTTTCCCACCTACCGTCTCTTTATTCCCAGAGGGTTCTTCCATTTGATTTGGGAGCAGGAGAAAAGGAAATTGTTGCCTGCACAGAACCTTTTAAAGGAGTTCTGGGGTAAAATTAAACCTGCACGGGGAGAATTTGTGGTTTTTTTTATGCAGGTTCGTCCCAACCTGCTGAGAGAGGAGGATGGAAACAGAACTGTGGGGGTGGGATGGTTTGTGGGGGGCCAAACGTCCCCAAATCCCTTGGGTGGGATTTGTCACTTCCCACTCCCGGCTGGCTCCTCCTCCCGAGGTGAGACGGTGATAATTCCAGGGGAGTCACCGGCCCCGTGCCCCGGGGTGTCCTCAAAGCAGGAGCCGGTGGGTGCTGCCAGACGGGCACACCCTTGTCTGCCTCCCCCGCGCTCCTGGCGCTCCTCCCTCCAGCATTCCAGGAGGGATTTGCTCACCCAGACCCTGCCCTGGCCCAGCTCCCTGTCTGGAAACCTGCGGAGCACAAAAACCTGCGGAGCACAAAAACCTTCCCCCAGTGACAGGGAGGGGGTTTGGAGCCCCTGAGGATGCTCCTGGCTCCCGGGTGAACAGTTTTCCAAGGAGTTTGAGGCCGAGGAGGAAGCGATGGCAGCTTTGGAGCACTTTGGGAACCCACCTTTGGGGTTCCAGAGCCTCTTCTAACCCATGGGAGGGGGTTTCCTCGGGATGTGCAGCACCTCCTGTCCCAGCAGTGAGCTGGGATATCTGGGATATCTGGGATATCTGGGATATCTGGGATAGCAGGCACTGAGCTCTGCTCTCTGGGGACCAGGGACAGGACCCAGGGAATGGCTGGAGCTGTGTCAGGTTGGATTTTAGGGAAAGGTTCTTCCCCCAGAGGGTGGTTGGGCACTGCCACTCTGCAGATATTGGGATTTTAGGAAGATATTAAAAGGATAAACCAGGAGTGCAGGGCAACACAGAAGTGAAGGGAACACTGGGGTGGTGCCAAGACCGTTTGTTTTATTCACACGTGGAGAGGAGAAGGTGACAAAGGAACAACAAACAGGGACATTCCTCCCCCAAGATCAGCGCGAGGAGGAGTTACAGACTCTTTCTCCCGGGAAATATTCCCGGGGGCACAAAAATCACTTGGTTACATGTACAAGGAAAGGCACTTTCTTGAGGTAAATACAGCAGGAACGATGCAGAAGGAAAACTAGTGCAGGATTTTCTCCTCCCAGAGCAGGGAAAACAAGGGGGTGAGGGAGACATCCAGGGATTTACAAACCTCTTTCAGTCCTCAGCCTTTGGAGACCCCACAGGGCAGGGCAGGGTCTCCTCAGGATCCCACCTGGGAGCCCCCTCAGAGCCCCTGGAATTTGCGGGAGCGGAGGCCACAGGAGGGGGAGCCCTGGGTGACACAGGACACCTGGGTGACACAGGGGGTGGGACAGGACTCCACACACTTGGTGACGGCCTGGACGCCCCCACAGCAGGGATCCACACACCTGGGGGCACAGCTGGGCACGCAGCAGGGATCCTGGCACCTGGTGAGGCACTTGGTCACCTCCTGGCAACAAGGATCCTGACAAGTGGTGATGCACTTGGTCACCTCCTGGCAGCAGGGATCTTGGCACGTGGTGGTGCATCTGGTCACACAGCAGGGATCCTGGCACCTGGTGAGGCACTTGGTCACTTCTTGACAGCAGGGATCCACACAGGTTGTGGTGTACTTGGTCACCTCCTGGCAACAGGGGTCTTGACAAGTGGTGATGCACTTGGTCACCTCCTGGCAACAGGGATCTTGGCAAGTTGTGGTGCATTTGGTCACCTCCTGGCAGCAGGGATCTTGGCACGTGGTGACACACTTGGTGACCTCCTGGCAGCAGGGATCCACACACCTGCTGCTGCACTCGGTCACTTTGCAGCAGCAGCAGGGAGGGACACACCTGGGGCTGCACTTGGTCACCCTGTCACAGCAGGGAGGGACACACCGAGGGGTGCATCGGGTCACATACCCACAGCAGGGATCTTGACATGTGGTGATGCACTTGGTCACCTCCTGACAGCAGGGATCCACACACCTGGTGATGCACTTGGTCACTTCCTGGCAACAGGGATCCACACAGGTTGTGGTGCACTTGGTCACCTCCTGACAACACGGATCTTGACATGTGGTGATGCACTTGGTGACCTCCCTGCAACACGGATCCACGCACTTGGTGGTGCACTTGGTCACCTCCTGGCAGCAGGGATCCACACACCTGGTAATATACTTGGTCACCTCCTGGCAACAGGGATCTTGGCATGTGGTGATGCACTTGGTCACCTCCTGACAACACAGATCTTGGCATCTGGTGATGCACTTGGTCACATCCTGACAGCAGGGATCCACACAGGCTGTGGTGCACTTGGTCACTTCCTTGCAACAGGGATCAACACACCTGGTGATGCACTTGGTCACGTCCTGGCAGCAGGGATCCACACACCTGGTGGCACATCTGGTCACACAGCAAGGATCCACACACTTGGTGACTCTGTCACAGCAGGGATCCACACACCTGGTGCTGCACTTGGTCACACAGCAGGGATCCACACACCTGGTGCTGCGCTTGGTGACTTTTTTGCAGCAAGGATCCACACACCTGCTGCTGCACTTGGCCCCCTTCTTGCAACAGGGATCTCCACACTTGGGAGAGCACTTGGTCGTCTTCTTGCAACAGGGATCCACGTACTTGGAAGAGCTCTTGGACACTTTCTTGCAGTAGCAGGGATCCACACACCTGGTGATGCACTTGGTCACCTCCCTGCAACAGGGATCTTGGCATCTAGTGACACATTTGGTCACCCCCTGGCAGCAGGGATCCACACACCTGGTGGTGCATCTGGTCACACAACAGGGATCCTGGCACCTGGTGATGCACTTGGTCACCTCCCTGCAACAGGGATCTTGACATGTAGTGATGCACTTGGTCACCTCCTGGCAGCAGGGATCCTGGCACGTGGTGATGCACTTGGTCACCTCCCTGCAACAGGGATCTTGGCACGTGGTGACACACTTGGTCACCTCCTGGCAGCAGGGATCTACACACCTGGTGGTACATCGGGTCACACAGCAGGGATCCTGGCATCTAGTGATGCATTTGGTCACCTCCTTGCAACAGGGATCCTGACATGTAGTGATGCATTTGGTCACCTCCTGGCAGCAGGGATCCTGGCACGTGGTGGTGCACTTGGTCACTTCTTGACAAGAGGGATCCTGACATGTGGTGGTGCACTTGGTCACTTCTTGACAAGAGGGATCCTGACATGTGGTGGTGCATTTGGTCACCTCCTGACAGCAGGGATCCACACAGGTTGTGGTGATGCACTTGGTCACCTCCTTGCAACAGGGGTCTTGACAAGTGGTGACGCACTTGGTCACCTCCCTGCAACAGGGATCTTGGTACCTGGTGGTGCACTTGGTCACACAACAGGGATCTTGGCACGTGGTGGTGCATTTGATCACCTCCTTGCAACAGGGATCCTGACATGTAGTGGTGCACTTGGTGACTTCCTGACAACAGGGATCTTGGCACGTGGTGGTGCATCTGGTCACTTCCTTGCAACAGGGATCTTGGCAGGTGGTGATGCACTTGGTCACTTCTTGACAGCAGGGATCCACACATGTGGTGGTGCACTTGGTCACCTCCTTGCAACAAGGATCCTGACATGTGGTGATGCACTTGGTTACTTCCTGACAACAGGGATCCACACAGGTTGTGATGCACTTGGTCACATCCTGGCAGCAGGGATCTTGGCACGTCGTGGTGCACTTGGTTACTTCCTGACAACACGAATCTTGGCATGTGGTGGTGCATTGGGTCACACAGCAGGGATCTTGGCACGTGGTGACACACTTGGTCACTTCCTTGCAACACGGATCCACACACGTGGTGGTGCACGTGGTCACCTCCTTGCAACACGGATCTTGACATGTGGTGGTGCATTTGGTCACCTCTTGGCAGCAGGGATCCACACAGGTTGTGGTGCACTTGGTCACCTCCTGGGAACAGGGATCTTGGCACGTGGTGACACACTTGGTCACCTCCTGGCAGCAGGTCTCCTGGCATGTGGTGGTCCCTTGGAAGCAGCAGGGATCCCTACAGGTGGTGCTGCAGCTGGTCACCCCCTGGCAGCAGGCTGGGACCCCCGAGGACACGACGAGGCCGCAGGGACCCCCACACCCTGCCCCCTGTGCCAGCCCCAGCCCGCCCAGCTTCACGAAGGTGGTGCTGCCCTGGGGCACTCTGGTGTAGCAGCAGGGATTCCAACAGGGATTCCTGCGGGAATTCCCACGGGGAGGCAAACAGAAGCTCTGCTGGAAGTTGCAGGCGGTGCCGGGGGGATCCAGGCGGGATTTCACGGGGCAGCTCCTCACCAGGACGGCGGGAGGGGGGATGCAGAGCTGGGCCGTGGGGCAACCGCCGGGGCGACGCATCCTGGAGGGGAGGGGGGAGGCTGGAAAGCAGGAGAGGAACAAATCCTGTGTGAGGAACAGCCAATTCAGCCCTCACGGGGCTGTTTCACACCCAGAGCTAAACCATCCCTTCTCCATGGGAACCCTGAGCTGGGAAAACACCCTGGAATCCACGGCAGGGAATGAACTCGCCTCGAAAGCGTTTTGGGTGAGTTTGTGGCTGCTCTCAAACCACTTCTCAGGGCAGGAAAGGAAAGTTCCTTGGGCTCAGCCGGGTTGTCCTGCAAGGTCTGGAGGCACAACAACAACCCCCAGCCACCCACGGCTCCCCTTGGTTTGGGAGTCACCTTTGGCTTTACTTCCCTGTTTCCACCCAAAAAGGAGATGACTTCTGACCTCACCCTGTCCCTGCTCAGCCCCTCAGCCAGAGGAGGGTCTGGGGGTCCCATCCTGGGAAACTTGCCCAGGAAAAGGACCCCACAGCTCCCAGCACAGCTGCTTTCCCAGCTCTCCCACAGAAGTCCTGGCTCTTCTCCCCCAGCCTCCCTCCCAGGCACGCCCGAAAGTCTCCACTTCTTATCTCCCCTCCCACTTTTCGCCCTTTGAAGTCCTAATGTTGCCTTTTGATCTCTCCCAGGCCCAACAATTTCCTGGTTGAAGCAGGGGAGCAAAGTCACCCCAGGGAGGGAGGGAGAGAGAGAGAGAGGCTGGTCCACTCTGGGACGCACCTTGATGGAGAAAGAGCAAAACCTGCAGCAAATAAAGCCTGGTGGGAGATGGAATTAACGTCCACCCCCCGCTCAGCTGCTGGATAAACCCCCTCACACACAAACCTCAACAACCAGAAGCATCTCGAAGTCTTTTTGAGTTGCTTCTGCCACGCTTGGAGCTGAAATAACCCCGAGTACCCCGTGACTCCCCAGCAAACCCAGCGAGACTCACCCAGTCCAGCACCAGCAAAGACCCAAATGAAACCCAAAAGGTTTGAGGGACCCGAAAATATGAATCCTTTTATACGATCCCGGTGTCCGTGGCTCCGGAAGTGAGACACCTCAGGGGTATGGAAATCCAATTTTTTAATAATCCGGACCTGTTCCACCTCCAGTCCTTCAATTACTCGCCTCCATTATAATTTTTGATGCTGTCCAGTGACTGCTGGAATTCCCCATCCACGCATTTCCTACGGAGGGGAGGGAAACAAAGATGATCCAGCCTGGAAACAATCCCCCCCCCCCCTCAGGATTAAACTCTGTTTGGATAAAAGTTGTTTTGGGGGCATTTTCTTGCCCCTCCTGAGGAAACCCCACGGGACTCTCTGGAAGTTTGTTCTCCTCTGCTGTGGGAGTTCCCTTGTTCTTCCCAGACACACACGAGATTCCTCCAACTGAGAGTTTTGTTCCTAAAAAACCTGGTCACGATTTCCCTCGTTGCAAACGTGCAGTTGGTGCCTCTCCCCCCAGCTTCAGAACATCCCTTCTCCTCAGCCAAGGGCAGCATAACCAGAATCTACGGAATCCCTGAGGCTGGAAAAGACCTCCAAGATCATCAAGTCCAACCTTTGATCCATCCCCACCTTGGCCCCAGCCCAGAGCACTCAGTGCCACATCCAGGCCTTCCCTGGGCACCTCCAGGGCTGGGCACTCCCCCACCTCCCTGGGCAGCCCCTGCCAAGACCTCACCACCCTTTCCATGGGGAAATTCCTCCTGATGTCCAACCTGAGCCTCCCCTGGCACAGCCTGAGGCCGTTTCCTCTTGTCTTGTGTCATTACCTGGGAGAAGATCCTGACCCCCCTTCAGCTCCCCCCTCCTGTCAGGGAATTCCAGAGCCAGAAGGTCCCCCCTGAGCCTCCTTTTCTCCAGGATGAGCCCCCCCAGCTCCCTCAGGAGTTCTCCAGACCCTTCTCCTGCTGTCCAGCTGCTTCCCTGGACACGCTCCAGCCCCTCCTGCCCTGAGGAGCCCAGGCCTGGGGGCAGCTCTGGATGTTCCCTCCCTGGTGCCCAGCAGAGAGGGGACACAACCCCTGCCCTGCTCCTGTGCCCACAACTCGTTTGGATCCAACCCCTCGTTGGGATTTTGGCCGCTGGGCACTGAAAGCTCCACATTTTTGAGGATCTTCAGCCTCCCTTTGGCTCCTTCCAGGGCTCCTCCTGCCCTGGCCCCTCTGTGCTGGGGAAGGATGAACCCTCTCTATTTGGGGCTCTGCTCCCACTGTCCCTGGCAGGGGTTTGGGGGTTTGCTGGGCCCCTTTCTGGGGTGGAGGAGGTGACACCAAGTGAGTGTCCCCGGTGGGAGATGGGAACTGGGACAGTTCTGTGCCTTCCCACCTCCCACAGCTCCTGTTCCTGCCTGAAAATCCCTCTTTATCAGAGGGAAGGGAAGAGCCAACCCTGGGAGAGCCCTGGGAGGGATCAAAGGCTCTGAAAGCTCCTTCCCTGCTGGCTGCAAACCAGCCTGGAGTCACCCGGTGACACAACACCAGACCAGTATTTCTGGCACCCAGAATTGAGGGAATGTTTCACCTGGAGACCAAGGTGTGTCCTGCTGTCTGCTCTTCCTCCTCTCAGGGTGTGTGTCCAGTGCAGAGATTTTGGGTTATTAAACAGAAATAGATAAATCTGGGATCTGTGACCACCCGGACTGAGCACAGGGATGGGGATTGGTGGAATTCAGCTGGTTTTGGTGAACCAGAGGGATGAAAAGGGGGTTGTAGCTTCTTCCATCATCCTCAGTGATGCACCTGCACGAGGACAGAGGGAACACCACGGCAGTGGAGACGTTGTTTGACTCAGAACTTGGGGAGCAAACACAAAACCCCCCGAGACAGGGGGTGACACGAGAGTTTCCAGCAGCACCATGTCCAAAAGGGGACAGGGGCAGGGACAGAAAGAGGTCAGACGTGGCTAAAAGTAAAAGAATCCCCCAAATCCCACATCCCATCCTGCCTCTAATGGACCCCATGATGTGTTTGTTGGGCTGGAGGGTGTTTGACCATCACCCCAAAACCGCCCCGTGACCATCTGAGAGGGGGCCGGGAGTCCACTCATTTCCCAAATTCCTCTGAGGGGCCACACGTGGATTCCCAAGGCCAGCCCAGCTCCCTCCAGGTCGTGCTCCAGCCACGGAAACGGGCGGTTTCCATTAAAAATAATTAGTCAAAGAATCCATCACGGGGCAGAGGCGGAGCGAGGCCGGATCTGGGATGGGGAACCCGTCCTGGTGCCTGGGGCTCCTCAGCTCCCCGGGCCAGAGGACACATCCCAGGCACAGCCCAGCTCCAAGGGGCCCTGTCTGCTCCTCCTGCCTCTGCTGATCCTGAGCTGGGTAAGTTCCTTTGGGATCCTCCAGGTCCCACCCTGGTGCTGGGCTTAATTTCCCACCACTGAAAGATTCCCGGGAAAGGGGAATTTATTGGCTCCCAACCTCCTTGGGGAGAAGGGTTTTGAGGAGAACCAACCTTCCTTCGTCCTGGCTCTGCTGGAATTCCCATGGATGCTCCTCCAAACGCTTCCTGTTGTCCCAGCGCCGGGTTGAGAGGGATAAAAACCCCCTCTGGCCCAAAGTGTCGGGATCATCCGAGCAGGGAAGTGGCTGCAGCATCTCTGGAGTGCCAGGTGAGCGTGTCCAGCCTCGTGGGGAACCTGCACAGCTGCACCTTGCTCTTACCTGTCCGTCCTGTTGCTGCTTTTACTCACGGCAGGGGTAGGACAGGGACGGCTGCACCCCTGGGGATTCCCAGCAAAGGAGTCCCAGGACAAGGAGGAACCACCTGGAGGAGAGAAGGGATTATCTTGACGTTTATAAGCCTGAAAATGTGGCTGGAATCCGCTGCTCTCCCAAGAAAACATCCTTGAAAGTGTTTGGCTGCAAACAGACTCCGAAAGGAAAAGCTGCTCTGGGAAGTTTTCACAGGAAAACAACAGAACCACCCGAGTTTCGTTGAATATCTGATGTTTGGGGGGGAATAGTCATGGAATTGCCCTTTTCCTTTCAGCTCCCCCGCGGCGTGGAAGGATGAGCTCCCCGTGCCAGCTGCCCTGCCCACCCCCCTGCACTGCCCAGCCCGGCCCCTGCCCCGAGCTGGACACTGCCCTGGGCACCACCCCCTGCCCCCAGATCACAGCCCAGGTGGGTCCCTGCCCGTGCCAGGGGCAGAGCTTTGCCCTCAGGTGTGGGTTCAGGTGTGGGTGCCCTGCGGTGCTTCCTTGGGATGGAGGTTTGGGCCGGACACGGGGAAGAATTCCCTCCTGGAAAGGGTGCCCAGGCTCTGGAAGGGGCTGCCCAGGGTGGGAGTGGAGTCCCCAGCCCTGGAGGTGCCCAAGGCCGTGGCACTGAGTGCTCTGGGCTGGGGGCCGAGGTGGGGATGGGGCACAGGGGGGGCTCGGTGACCTCGGAGGGCTTTTCCAACCTTAATGACTCCGGGATTCCGGGATTCCCCTTCCAGCCCGCGGAGCTCTGCACCCCTGGGACCTGCGTGGAATCATCCCCGAGCCCATCCCTGGAGCCCTGCACCATCTCCAGCCCATCCCTGGAGCCCTGCACCATCGAGACCCCCGGCATGTGCGTGCTGACCTTCCCCCTGCAGAAGAACATCCTGGGCGTGGAGCTCTGCCCCTCGGACGGGATCATCCCCCTCCCTCCCGACGAGCCCTGCCCGGCCCAGCCCCTCGGCCCCCGCCTGGAGAGCATCTCCCTGGGTGATCCCTGCACCCTGGAGGTGCTGGAGCCCTGCCCGGAGGGGGTGGGAATGGGCGATCCCTGTTCCCGGGGGGATCCCTGCGCATCCCAGAGCGCATCCCAGAGCGCATCCCTCGCGGAGCCGGGACTGTCCCAGAGTGTCACGGAGCCCTCGGCACAGGGGATGTGCTCGGCGGGGCTCGGGGACAGCGGGGACACGGCCAAGGATCCCAAATCCTGCTCCTCGTTCCGGCTGAGCAGCCGAACCTCGGGAATCGTGGAGCGCTGCCTGGCCCGGTGCCAGGGCTGGTTCAGGGGCAAGAACTGAGAGAAACGAGAGGAGGA